TTTGTTCAACGTCTTTTTCTTTCCCTCATCATCAGCGTAATCCAGGAATATATCCACAATGTTTGTGATGACCTGGTCCAAACGAGCCATGACTGTGGGTAGAAAATCGTTAATGAGAGTAATTAACAGAGGTGCAACAGCAAATACCTTCAGAGAAACACCTCCTACCGGATTAACGGACAATATGATATGAGCATAAACATCAGAATCAGCCATGTATCCCCGCCCGAAGATGAATACCTTTGAAATACATTGAAGCATAACACTGTAAAATATGGTACTTGACAAATGCTCAGAGCACTGGATAAAGCTTAAGTAAACATCATGACACAACTCTCAAACATTCCTATTGCATCTTTCATTCTCAACATCTGGATTGAATGCTGTTTCTTTTCTTTTCTCTTCTCGTGTTCCCGACATCTTGCTTCTCATCAGGACTCACCTTCCAGTTCACGTTTCCTGGGCGAGGAGAGAGATCACGTCCGTTTCTCCTGCTGTCCAAGTGAGACTGTTGTCTAACTGAGAGGAAAGCCTCCTCTTAAAGAGTAGACATGCAACGTCTGACACACACACACACACACACACACACACACACACACACACACACACACACACACACACACACACATGCATTGGAAATGCCCCCCACCCAGACTTCTTCGACTTGTGTAGCCCAAATGGTTGCCATTGATGACGTTGTGTGCCTGTGTGTGTGTGTGCCTGTGTGTGTGTGTGTGTGTTGCGTGTGTTGCGTGTGGATGAACAGCTGGCATAGATTATCTAAAATTAGACTCTGTATTATGGAGTTGCTCCGTGTAGCATTTTTCTAACTTAAATGGATCTTGAAGGCCAAATTATGAACTTCTGCGACCATCAGAGATCACAATGGAATGTATTTCCGACTTCAGTTCAGTCACTAAGTTAATGAAAACCCTAAAAAGGTCTCTGCAGAGCCTCGTGGGAGTGTCCCGGCTGTTTGTTCATCCTGACGCAGGTCGCGCCCCTCTTCATTCTGCTTAACATTTTGTAACTCGACCTCCATTTTCCGCTCCTTTGTTCCAAGGCAGCAGAAAGGCAGTACTGACTTCCTCTTACCCTCCGCTGCCCCCCTGCCAAGTCCCGTTTAACTCAAGTATCTTCCCTTTGGCCTCGATACTTTCACTTATTGAAACGATCAGATTCTCCTTTGCAGGGGAGGCAAAGTAAAGAGAGACGAAGGATCGTGTGGTTTTAATTACAAAAAGGTCCATCTCTCCTCACCCTGCTGGCCGAGGTGTGAGTTACAGTTTCAGCAGAGGAGCTACTGTGTCTCTGCAGTCTGCACAATAGACATACCTTTAAATAAAACATCAAATACAATTTCAAAGAACAGGTTTAGGTGTGTTCCTTTCATAATCCACCAAGAAAAGAGTAAGCTAACACCTGTCAAAGTGTGGGTGTGGGTGCAAGTTTCTCCACATTTCTGAAGGTACGTACAAAGGAGTGCAAAGGAGGTACAGGTGTTGCTGCAGTTATGTTCAGTGGGATTTATACCTAACAGTCTTATAGGGGAGAGAACAAAACTATTCTGGTCTGGCAGCTGCAGCATCCAAACCACATTGTGTTGTGGAAAACCTGGTTTTCAAGTGAAGCCCTTCAACAGGACACATCAAATGTGTGTGAGTCTCCTCTCACGCATCTTCACTGAATCATTTATTTATTGTGTTTCTGGGACATCTAGCGGTGATTTAAGGGTACCGCCAACTCCTTAAAACACCAAATATGAATGTTATTTAGTGTTAAAGGCTGCCATGTTGTTGTTATGTCTATGTTGTGATATGTCTCTCTCCGCATTTTGAAGGCACGTTCAGTGGAATTTATACCCAAAAGTCTTACAAGGGACGAGTGATGCTCTTTCACAGGAAACAACACATGCATGTTAGTCGGGTCTCATGCAGCCTCACTGAACACAGCATCATTCCTTCTAATAAAACAGTTATGTATTGTATTTTTCTGACATCTAGTGGTAAATGAAGAGTACGACCAACTCCTTAAAACCACATTTAAATGTTATTTAGTGTTCGGTACTTGTTAAAGGCTGCCATGTTGGCTGAGACCATCGTGTTATCCTACTTTCTTTCTAAAAGGTGTGGCAATCACTACTTATTGGGGAAAAAGACATGTTTATGACATATGAGCAGCGATGATTGAATTGAACATGTGCTACAAAGTCATACTCAAGTAAAAGAAGGGTATGTTTTTCATTTTTAATATGATTTTATTTATATTTACTTGTTTACTTCATTACAATATGCACTACAAAATGTAGTTAGAATGGTGAATAAATGCTAGGATACTGAATGAAATCTCCTTTAGGCTACAAAATGAATTATGTTAAGATGTACATACTAATGAAACAACATAACATTACAGATTTCTTATGTTCTTATGTAATTTGCAGGAAGTGGATAGAACTTATCAATGATATATTTATAATTATAATTATGATATTATTGCGAGCATTATTAAAGCCGTATAAAGAATTGACACTTCTGGTGGAGTCAGTGGACTAAAAAACATAATAATAATATAACAATATTTATGGGTTAAACAATGTGTTACAGATGTGAAGTAAAGCACATATGTTTCATTATATTCATATGAATCAACCGTTTCTGTGCGTTCTGCGTTCATTTAAATTGGCAGAGCTCTGCTCGACTATAAAGGTTTCACATGTGTGCAGGAAATCGATGATGCAGTCTGTGTACGAATCTATACGCAACCAGAAGAGCACTCACGCATGCAGTAGAGAAAACCAAGTGTTTTGGACCCAATATTAAACGAGTAATGAGACAAACAGAAGATGAAATCTTGTCAATAGTTTTTAATTTAGGATCTGGCAATCACATGTGCTACAAGATGATCTCACTTCTTGCCCTTCTTCTGTTCATGGAGCATGAAACACTTTTCACAGGCGATTGAGAGGCCGACGATGAGGGAAAGAAACTCTTCAAAGTCCACCTTATCATCCCCGTTTTGGTCCAAATCCTTCCTGATCTGCTCCACAACCTTGGGGTTCTTCTGGCTCTGAAAGAGGGACAGGATCATGTGGCAAACTTAAAGTATTCACAAAAAGGGCATTCATTGGTACTAAAGGAGAGAGGTTTGATTCAATGGGAGAGATTCTTACTTTCAGGAAGGTGGGTAACTCAGTCTCTACTAGTTTGTTCAGTTCTTTCTTGCTCAAGGACTTTCCGTCACCGTCTGCGTCGGCATAGCGGTGGAATATGGTGATCAGGGACTCCATGCACTTCTCTAACTCCGTCATGGTGGTGGACGCGCTGAGGGGAGGAAAGACAAGTCTGAGCAAGAAGTTGTCCGGCTGTCGTAAGTGCAGAAAAATACTCAACAGCCCTCTGCAGATCACTGTCTAAAATGGCAACTACATGACACTTGATAAAACTGGTATTTTAACAATAAAGAAGAAGTAACCATGAAGTGGGGACTTTCTGTCTTTTTTCACTTCTATCTCAGTTAGGCCTGAAGGATACAGTTGTTATAAAGCAGGAGGCCGCTTAGAGGTAAAAGGAACACATTATACTTCAGAAGGTTTACAAAGTTCATCCAGGACGAACATGTTATTAAGTGAGGATGTGGGTGTTGGTCTCACTGGCACCAAAAGCAAATTCTCCGACCCTTACACGTTTTCCGGCCCACAAACTTTAATCCTTATCTCGGGCCTCCCGCTCTCCCTCTGCATTCCTTCTGCATATGTTTTGGTTAAGTTCCAAAATCACGAGATACAGCCTTTGCAAAAGTGGAAGACAAACAAAGGAGACGCAGAGAGGACGAGTCGCTGCTTGTCAGAGGAGGAAAGTCAATGCAGAGCAGAGATGGAACGCAGCCTACGACTTGGATAAATAATCTTCATTTAAAGAAGAAAGCATTTCCCCTGCATGCTTGCGCCAGTTATAAATACAGGCTGTAGAACAACTGTAACAGTCAAAGCTGAAGAAAGCGAGTTTCAGAGTGATTACAATAAACTTACCAGGTCTCTGAAAGGCAGACTGTTGTTGGAGATTGGGTGAAGATCGCAGTGACGCACTGAGAGTTCATTCCAGGTTTTATAGCTGCAGGCAACGCCCAATGAGATGGGAAGAAGGAGGGAGGGAAAGGGAGAGGGAGAGGGAGGGAGCGATGAGCAAATACTAACCGTGCCCATGTTTCCCCTCAAGACCGTCAGCGTGAAGCGATGCAGAGAACTTTCAAATCCGGCATCTGTAAATATCAATTCCCCCCCTTTTTTTTTTACGTTTTATGTGACATCCACATCTGGAAAATTTGGACGTGTTTTTTCCATTGTTAGTATTATTCTGATATGAATCCTGGTGGTAAAGCAAAGCATGACACATCTTCTTCTGTTATCCTACGGCGTGCTCAGTCAAGTCCGTTGATCACAGTAACGGTCTCGTGAGTCATTTTCACATTCATTCTTCAATCGCATGTTCCTGCGGAATAAAACGCAGCTATGGGTGCAAAGTAACCACTGTCATGACTACAGTCACTTGTTTCCTGGTTCTCTCTAATTAAACTCTGGGTTTTAAAGCTAATTTATTTAGAGAAACACTGTGTTCTCACTGAGAAGCTGATCTGTTGGCCACAGAGCATCTCCACTGGAACTACTGCCGTTGAAATATATATGGATCAATAAAAACGGATGCATTTTTTTAATATAAAGCCACATTTTACTCATACTTCTTATACGAAGATTGTCCCCAAGACTGAACAGCCACCACTCACCTCTCTTGGAAATAGAAAGAGGCATCATTTCCAAATAACACCACCATGGTTTAGTTCCTCTGTTGAGGGCATTTTGGCCTCAATTGGTGGCAAAAGAGCAAAGTTTTGTTTACTATCCGTCCCCTGACTTTCGTTAAACTGTTTTTCAGCTCACAATTTTAGGACCACCAGATCTACCGGAGCATACCGACTAATCTAGAAGCAGTTTGACAGAATACAAATCACATTTAAAGTCTTTTACAGAGTTTAATTACAAAAGGAAATTAACAAAAACGCAACTTGATGTGCTGATGAATGCACGTATAACATGACGCTTGAGTCTCTTTGCAATCAGTGTAAATAGAGAGCAGACAAAGGGCCATCAACGGAACGTGGCGGCCGATAGGCTTTCTCTGTGGACTTGATTCAAATTGAGATTACTGTAAAAAAGAAAATATACTGCTATAATGTTTTCAAAGATGTACTCATTGAACTGATCAAAACTTCACAAGTAATAATTAAAGAGCCTGCAGAAGTGCACCAAGTTATGGATTCAAGACATTAATACAAAAAATATGAAACAGCTGAGTTGCAGGACGCAAGAGGGATCCAACAAACTCATCAGTTCTTCCTTTTGCCCTTGCCGGCGGCTTTTGATGGAGTTGCTGCAGGAACGCCTGCCTGGTAGAGAGCTGCAGATACTTTGTTGATGTAGTACAAGGCAAAGAGGGAGAAAATCAGGCTGGAATGAGAAAGAAAGAAAAAGTTAATGAATAAAATACATTTAACTACGACTAATAACTGTTGTATGAAGTTGAAGGTGGGTCTCTGTGATCTGCAGAGGTAGTGCACGTACCATGTGGTGACACAGACGCGGTGCACCAGACCGGAGGCGAACAGTGACAGGCACATGCACAGCAGAACTGGAAATAGAGAGAATGCATGACTAAAGTGAGGAACACAGCCTGAATGATCTATTAAAGGTGTGAAATTGAATGCTAATCACAGATAAAGTGTGCATACTGTTACCAAGATTGTACAATAAATATGATTATTAACTACATCACTGATTGAAAAACTAATGAACTTTGTATCAAATGTGTTAACTCCTGTTAGGAAAGGCTGGCAGGGGGGAAATGGGCTTCAATGATCAAGGCTGCTCATCTTTCCGTGTAAGCTGAGCCAACGCTTTACTCAGCAAATCATAAATGAGGCTGAACAGCATGTAAACAAAAACAAGTAATTCAAATAAAAGACACTCTGGTACTGACAGCGAGGGTTTTATTTCAGTATAGGCAATACTTACTTTCTGGGAATATCTTGGCTTGGAATCCCTTCCCAAAAATGAGATTTTCCATATTATTAAATGCCTGGAAACAGAAGTTAAGGTGCAACACACTTTAGTGGCATTGGTACAGTTACATGCACACAAGAAACCAGAGAAATCAGGTTAGGTAGAAAATAGGAAGCCACATTTAAAAAACAAAAATCAGATCAGATCGAAGCAGTTCATGAGGATACAGTGAGGCAGCAGATGAAGAGGACTGAGCCCAGGAAACCTCCCAGGATTGTGAGCCACTCGGTGGATCCCAGCTGCTTACTGAACATCTGCATCCCAGCAAACACCAGCACTGACAGCAGACTGGACAGTACCAGAGAGGTGCCCGTGTTCACCGCTACAGGACAAAGAACAGTGGTTATTGCAGAACTCAAGTTCTCAACAAGCCCTTGGTATGATGCACCAATACACACTTCAGCTTTAACTAAACTGATTTGGTTTCCTCTGCTTCATCTCATCAATAACTAAAGACAGTTCATTCTTTAGTGCACTTACTCCGGTGACCTAACGCGGGGAAGACTCTGCTGCTTTTAACCCACTATATCATCCGTGTAAGAATATAATCACCATCAGAATATTAGTCCACATCTCTGCTCACCAGCTTGAATTGGCCACATAACGCTGGCCCTCCACAACGTAACGCCACGTCAGTGTTCGTCCGCTGACGTCTCCGTCAGACGCCTGTTAGCTTAAAGCTAAAACACCGACGTTGGCAGCGAACATATCCGGCTAAAGTAATGCTCTCAATACACCGTGCGATAATAAAACAATGCATTTAATACCTTGTTTTGGGGATTGGTGCATATGCATAGAGTAAAAAAATTGCAGCCGGTGTGCTATCATTCTATTTCTTAAGCTAAACGTAAGCGTTAGCTAGCTAGCTTGGCCGTAGAATTGGCCGTCGGAATGTTTTACACGAATACAATGACAAATTAATCGCGTAATACATACCCATGATTCAGTATTAAATAAGAGTGGATGATGTCCAAACAAATACAAATGTGGTTTATCTCGGCACAGCCAGTTAACTTGTCAGCGGCTCTCGGAACAAAAAACTTCACCACCCGGTCCGAAAGTGAGGTGGCACCAGTGGGCGGAGTCGGGATGCAGGAAGTGTGTTGCCAACTTAGCAGACTCAAACAGCACCTAGCAAAAAGGTTACTCAGATGCTAAACAGCACGCATCTTCCTTCTAAATTACACAAAAACAACATGTGCCATCAGTAGATGGACAGTCAATTTGAGTAAAGATATTTTGCATTCTACATAATGAGGGAATTTTACATTATTACTTACTGACATCATGTCATCTAGCAACTTTTAGCAACACATTGCCTCTAGCAACTTCCCCGGAAAATTATTTTGGCAACACTGCGTATCGGGTTGGATTATGATTTTCAAAACCACATAAATCATCGTAAATGTGTTTCTTATTTCAGTCTAACATACATGCATTTTCATTTTCAAAGCCCTAGTTATGTTAAGGGTCTACTCATCTTGGTGAAGCAGTATTAGTACATGGTAATCACTGTGAAACAGAAAAGAAAAAAGAAATTAAAATAAAATAAAGAAAAAGACAACGCACAGCAGTTTGGGAAATATTTTTTACAACATGTATTTGAGATTATAATAATATGATAATTATTTATTTGGCGACAGACTGGAATAACAGAAGAAAATAGGTGTAGTGTCTGCACGTAATAGAGTAGTTGAACATAAGTTTGTCCCGTCCATTCTTCTGTATCTCAGTAACGAACCACAGACATTCCGCAGCATCTGTTGGTACCGATTGCTCAGTTGAGCAACCGGTAGCGTTCTTCTCACGTCCACACTAAACCTTTGCATTTCACATCAGCACCGTCTTTCACAAAGGCTTCTTCTTCAGTCCAAAAACCGCGATAAACAGAAGAATCTCCACAAAAGCAGGAAGCACACTGGAGGGAGAGACGGACAGAGAGAAATGTAGAGAAAAGACTGCATCAGCACTTAGCAGTGCTTACATAGATTCATATGCCATAGCTACTAATATTTCATTGATTAGACGTTCTATCCCTTTGCTTTCTGGAAGCAGATACATGCGTGCACACAAACCTGCAGATGGCAAATATCACCCAATATGTCCAGCATTCCCACTCCTCAAACACAAAGAAAGACAAGGATACGGACGCGCCGCAGTGGACAGCCAGTGCTGGGTTCAATTTCTGTCAGGGAAATAATGCTTTTGGAAAAATAAAACTGACAAAACTAGGTATCTGCACACTAACCTGCAAAAGGCAAGGATCCACCAGTAGACGTCACACTCCCACTGCTCAAATAGAAAGAAAAGCAGAGCCACTGAGGCACTGGCATGGGCTCCTGTTGCTATAGTAAACAAAGAGGCATATGCAGGAGTTTTGGAGTCATGGAAATGTAACTGGCAACCAGAATTACTATTTAATAAAACTGATCTCTTTTTATGCGATATTTTACGTGACATACATTTCCTGGCTCCTGTTAAGTCTGTCATAAATTCTAAGCCAAACTGATATCCAATGTCTCTTTCTTCGTCTAGATGACAAATCTCATTGTAATTGCTGCTCTTGTAGTAGTGAAGTCCAAAAAGAAACAAAAAGGGGAAGAGGACATGTTGCCACCTCCTATGAATCACCACCATTGAGGGGCACAGGGCAAAAGGATACACAGGAGACCTTGGCTGCTGTTGAACATGGACACTCCTGAGAAGAACCCAACCAGCTCTATGGCAAACAGGCCGAGGGTCACTGCCAACGCCACCACCAACCTGCAACAAAGAGAGACATATTGTCTGATAATCTTTAACATCATTACCGTGATTCCTTGTAGAAAACAAAATCCCCCCCTGTGCAATGCCGTTTGAGTATTTTCTCGATATATTTTCTGAATGAATACATGGCAATAAGAGAGATATTATATATATATAATTCGAGAGGAATTTGTTTTCTGTGGGTGTCTCTGTGAAAATGTGGATCTTCCAGATAAAGTTGAGGAGTGCTCTGTATTCTTGGCATGTTCCACATTTGTGTGGTGTAGACTTCTTGGTTTCAACCCCTCAAAATAGTGTACTTGTGTCCGTCATGACACACTGTGTTGGATCAGCTGGACCTGCAACCCTGTTGTGTGGTTTTACGATTTCTGTCAGAGGTTTTCTTACTTCCGGTCTTCATTGTCATACTGCTCTTGCGTGAATTCCAAAGGCAAGCAAGCCTTCACGTTGTGGTCCTGTAAAACAAACATTTCAAACAGCTTAGCATTAAAAAAGAAACTCGCACTATTGGTAGACACTATAGTATTTTTACACGCACATACAACGTAATATATCAAATCGGTGTCTTACCCTCGACCAAAAGATTGTGATAACGATGACAAGGTGAGCAATAATGGTCAAGAACCGCGCAGGGACGAGGCTGCTGACAGCCGACATACTGAGCCACCATAAACACAAACAGACGGCGATTATGCAGAAATATGATGCGGAAATAAATGCGACGTTATTTTAACTAATAAAAAATAGAAAACCTATCGCAACAAATATTTAAGTCAGCTACTATTACTTCCAAAACACGTCTGCGAGATACTACATTCGCACTATCGCGCCCAAAGACGGTTGCTACAACAACCGACAGGGTACATTGAAGCTGGTGCATTCTTAATGACGGTCCGGTTCCAGCAACCACCATCGTCCAAAGGTTCCGCAAACGTGTATTTTCTACAGAGCACTGCCCTCTAGCGGTACTGCGGGAAACGGGGCACAAACAATAGAGCACATTTAAAAGAAACGCACCTCTGAAAACAACAAGAAGGATATTTATTTTGGCTAACTGAGTTTTTGAGCTAAAAGAAATCGATACAATTTAAAAATATTATTACAAATACATTTTAAGAAACGGCACTGTGGATTCTGTTTCACGGTTGGACCCGTGGACTGGACTGGAAAGGTTGTTTACAAACGGTCAAATATGTGAATATTGAGAAAAAAAAAACGTGGCATACGATGTTTTGAAATAACAATATTAATATATATTTTAACACTGTAAAATGTGTAATGGTTTCTTGGACAATGTAGACAGCTCAACCCAGACCAACCCCCCCTCTTCCTTATTCTACATAGAGATAGAAGCAGCGTGCGCATCGCGGCGCATATCGAGCAGAGAGAAAACCCACAGAAGCGAATCGCTTGTCCACCTTTCCACCTTTCCCCCGGTGCGACCGACATACCCTAAACCCCGTCTTACCCCAGGAAAAAAAACGGTTTAGCTGTAATATCGCAGTGACGCTGACATCTTTGAGGGATGGCTGACTCGGAGTTAGAAACCTTTACCTCTATCATGGACGCTTTGGTTCGCATTAGTGTAAGTATGAGGCTCATGTTATTTTTTTTAAACTACGTGTGCTTATTTCAAACGAGATATCATCATTACCGTTTGTCTTCCAACCTCATATTTAATTCCATAATTTTGCTTTATGTGCTTTCATACTAAAGCATATTTTTGGCATTCGTTCAATCATAGAGGGTTTTTTTCCCCTTCCTCTTATTTTTTTTTGCACCGTGGGCGGAAACACAAAATTCAATGCCACAACAAAACATTCAGGCTATATCTAAACCTATATCTATAGCGGCGGATGTTTGGTGATAACCACCAGAAAGGAGGTTGGCGGACGGTAGTGCTTACGGGCCGCATACGATGAGGCGGAACTGATGTGCGTTGTCATAGAAACGGGATGCTGCGTTAAGTAGGCTAGCTACAACACCTGGATCTGGGCCTCCAAAGCCAGTAATACTTTAACACGGAGGTCCAAGCAGAAATTGAACGCTACATTTTTTTTATTGATTTGAATTTTCTTTCCGGGAGAAGTGCAATACAGAGTTTCCAAACCGTGGGATTCTTTGCCAAAGTTGAGCTCATTCCATATCTGAATTGTTCAAAGGAGAGGTAAAGCATGAGACGCCAGGAAAAGCTGTTCTACTCCCCCCACATCTCTCCCCTGTACTCCGTACATCAGCTGAATAAAACCTGTGTCTGTTGCCGCTCCTCTTCTCGGTCTTGACGCCTACACATCTAATGTGCATTTTTGTAAAGAATGTAAAGAGCAGTGGATTCTTGTTTTGGACTCTGGTGACTCAGCCTTTAGTGAATCTGACTCCTCACACTCAGTTCTCTTCTTGAACCTCTCCAGTCCAACATGAAGAGTATGGAGCAGGAGCTGCGTTGCCCGATGTGTGATGAGATGGTGAAGCAGCCCATCCTTCTGCCGTGTCAGCACAGTGTCTGTCTGCTGTGTGCGGCCGAGGTGCTGGTACAGAGGGGTTATCCTCCTCCAGACCTCCCCCCGGAGCCCAACTCGCCAGCCTCCACGCCCAACACTCGCTCCCCGCGACAGGCTCGAAGACCCACACCCAGGACCCCTGACCGCCTGGAACGGGTCCTCAGAACAGGTGGAGAGAGCAGATGTGGAGCTCATATGGGTGCGTTTTGTACAGTTAATGGGATTTTTTAAATGAATGTTATATTATTGGGTCAATTTAGAGTGACCTAATTGTTTACAGTTAAAAAAAAGATGCTGCCGTGATATGACATCACTGTCCTTTTAGCATGAGAGTTGGGTGATGTAGCTGACACATCGGTATCCTGCTGAGCATGCAGGTCTTAATGCATTCATCTCATGACTTATTGAAGTGCATGTAGAGCAAAGGCCACAGAGACAAGTAGTCAAGGAGGCAGTAAGGAAGTAAGCATCTGTCAAGCAGGTGTGTTTTCACTGCGTGTGTAAGCTGATAGTGTTTCCTCCAAAGTGAACTAACTATCTGCCACTGCGTTTCTTTTTCTATATGTAAAGGACAACTAAGAGTTCTGCATTGGTTCCCTCTCCCTCTCCACCCATCTCTCCTTCTCCTTCTCCTTCCCCTCCTTTTCATCTGCGTCCCCCTCTCAGTGTGCGGGACATACCCGGGGCGGAGACGGAAGGAAGCGGCCCCTCCCCCCATGCTGTTACCGTGTCCTTCCTGTCAGCGGGACGTGGAGCTGGGAGAGAGAGGCCTGACAGACTGCCTGCGCAACCTCACGCTGGAGCGGATAGTGGAAAGGTTTGAACGGCGATCCACTGCAGCAGAAAGGGTCCCAGGCAAAGAACTAACACTGCAGGCACAGATACGACAGTGTGTTGGGGGTCTTTGGCCTCCGGTAACATAAATGATAGAGAAAGGAAGAAGAAGCAAATCGATCCGACAGCCAATGACGAGAGTCAGCAAACGAAGGGCTTAGTATCAGTCAATACCGCCTTATAAATTGGGACGGAAATAATTTGCTAGAAGGCATTTCAACAATGAATCTTTCTTGCGCTCCTGATCAAAGACTGACCCTACGAGCAGATTGCAGGAGCAGCACAAAAACTGCAGTGTACTGTCCGTGGCAAAACTGTCCAATTTAAACATGTTGAGGGGGTTTGAAGTGCAGTGCTTTTCATCTTCTTTTAAAGTTGCTCTTCTCAGTTAAAACCATAAAGTTGAAATTGAGAGGAGCCTATTTGGAAAAGGGCAGAAATTTCACTTGCTCATTCCTCAGACGGTGGTTGTGTCGGTTAGAAAAGTGTGCGGTGCACGTTTTGTTGCTCACAATGCAGTGGCGAGGCAGCTGGTTGTGACATATCCGGGCCAGGCAGTTACAGGCTTGGACTCCCCCACAACTGGAATGACCTCAATTGTTCCTATGTTGACTTTTTCTGCTGCGGAATTGCCTAAGACCCTCCCTTATCTCCCTGTTACCCCTTGTCTGCCCTTTAGGTACAGGCACACAGTAAGTCTGGGCAGTGTGGCCATCATGTGTGGTTTCTGTAAGCCCCCCCAAACTCTGGAGGCCTCCAAAGGCTGCGCTGATTGCAAGTCCAACTTCTGTAACGAGTGTTTCAAACTCTACCACCCGTGGGGAACCCCTCGAGCTCAGCACGAGCACATTCTGCCCACCAACAACTTTCGGCCGAAGGTGTGTTCTTCTTCTGTGTTTTTCTCGTCACACACTGGCTTCTATCTGTCGCCGTTGTGCCTTCATCGTCTGTCGTGCCGCAGGTCCTAACATGTACGGAGCATGAGCAGGAGAGGCTGCAGTGGTACTGCCGGGACTGCCACCGGCTACTGTGCCCACTTTGTAAGCTCCGTCGCATCCACCATGGACACAAAGTGTTGCCGATAGCACAGGCCTACCAGGCCCTCAAGGTCAGTCGACATTGAATGTCAGTCGACATTGACGTTAAAATCTTGACGTAAGCGTCCTTGAAATGTTAACTTCGGTTTTGGTTTCGCAGGACAAGGTGACCAAGGAAGTCAACTTTGTGCTGGCCAACCAGGAGACAATACAGAGCCAGATCACTCAACTGGAAGCTGCCATCAAACAGATGGAGGTGAACCATCGTTTCTCTCCTTTGTCAATCTTCGTACAGAAATAGCTGGAGAATCTGCTGCAATATTTGGGTTAAAATGACTCCCATGTGGATAGCAGTGTTTTTTTCTGTCGAGATTGCACAATCAATAACGGGCTGAAAGCGCTGTTGTTCACCTACACAAAGCAACATTTTTGACAATAATCAACAAACCACTGTGGTCCGGGTACAACTACTTTTCTTTATTGTGCTTGAATCCAAAGGGAATCCATCCCCGGCCTGTATGCCAGTTTACTGTAACTACTACTACAGCTAAGGCACAGGTAGTGTTAGGGGGCCCTCTAGAGGACAAGGGGCTCTAGTGCATTGACACAACTCTGCGTTTGCAATAGCTAAGACGCTGTCTCAGTTTTAAATCGTCCCTTTTCACCCCACTCACTCTTTGTGCAGGCGAACAGCGCGGTGGCGTTGCATCAGCTGACCCACTGTATCCGAGAGCTGGGAGCAGCCGTAGCGGAGCGGCAGGGGGCTTTGGCTGTGGCCCTGGAGGGATCGCGCAGCAGGAGGGAAGAGGCCCTGTCGTCCCAGGTCTGGGAGAGGCGAGGCCTGCTGGAGCACGCCGGCCTGATGGCCTACACGCAGGAGCTGCTCAAGGAGACCGATCCCCCCTGCTTCGTACAGGCTGCCAGAGTCACCCACGGCAGGTAAACCACTCCATCAGCTTAATTCTAAACTTTGGAGGAAGAAATTGCAAGATTTGATCTGAGATCTCATTTTTTTCCTCTCACCTCCTCCAGGCTTGTGAAGGCCATTGCAAACCTCCAGTGTTTCTCCCTCTCAGCTGACCCCTCCTTCAGGAACTTTTACCTAGATGCATCCAAAGAAGTCGAGCTCATTCACAGCTTGGAGTTCATAAATGGTAGGAAATTATGTTTCTGTGATGAAAACCACACTTAAGTGCAATTATACTAATTATATTATTAAAGTACATGAATGTAACCGCTTGATGCGTTGTCTCCTCCACAGCCCCAGTAGCTCCCGTCATTGACACCCAGAAGACACTTGCATACGACCAGTTGTTTCTGTGCTGGCGCCTCCCTCAGGACTCGGCCCCAGCTTGGCACTTCTCCGTTGAATACCAACGACGAGCAGGAGGGGCTGCAGCCACCTGGGGCGGCACCAGGTCCCCCAATGCCGCGACCGCCTGGCTGCGGCTGGATGAAGTGAGAGGAACCAATGCCGTGATTAATCGGCTGCAGATGGACAGTGTGTACGTGCTCAGGGTGAGAGGCTGCAACAAGGCCGGGTTCGGAGAGTACAGCGAAGAGGTTTACCTCCACACTCCACCAGCACCTGGTGAGATACCGACACACATTTTTTAATTTTCACTACAAAAAAAAAAGTTCACTTTCCATTCCTCTGAAAAATATAAGGCCATTGCTTGTTTCCAATGCAGATTCACTAAATTCTTTGCAACCGGAAATAGTTCTGAGAATAAGCAAAATGCTTTCAATCCAAAACTGCTTTGTTTGCATTGGGAACAAAGAAAATACTCTTAACTGTTAAGTTTGATATTTTTCCAGCATTGGCTAATCTAAACATTTTACTTTTCTCTCCATTCCTTTATTCGTTCTATTCTCAATTCTTATTTTAACTTTGACGCATCCATTTTTTTATTCCAAACTCCTTCCTGCCTGTCTATTGTTCCTTTATATTGTCCTTTGATCCCTTTTAACGCACGTTGGGCACAGTCCAACTCAAAAGCCAAAACCCACATGGGCGCAGGTGCGGAGAGTCCACAGTAGGTGAAGAAGAAGCCTCCGTGTGAAGGTGGCGAGCTTTCATAACGGGCTCCTCAGCGGGCCCAGGTGCGGCCCATTAAACTGACCCAGATTCTGCGAGTCGGAGAACAAGCCGGGACACGGGGACACCTGGTGGAGGGGAGGGGTCGTCACATCCTACGTCGCCCTCCCCTTACAAAACCGGATCAGTTGGAGCAACATGAACGATGACTCGACTCTGACTGTCACATTTCCACACTACACCACCTCCTCCCATTCTTTCTCTTTGTATTACAACTTTTCTCTTCGAGCGGCGTCCTATGTGCCCTCCTCCCAGGAGTCTGCTTCAGCTACATCATGTGATCAGACTTGCTGTGGCCCGTCACAGCTTCAGCTTCTAACCCTTCCTCCCCTCGTGACTCCTTTTCGTTACCTTCCTTGCCATTTCCCGCCCCCCTTCGCCCCTCCTTTCCCTCCTGGTGGTGCCTCCTCTTCTTACGCCCTCAGTTTTGAGCTTCTCCTTGGACTCCCGCTGGGGTTTGCACGCTGACAGGCTGGCATTGGGCAGAGGCCAAACTTACGCTCGCAGCGTGCCGGGCCTCTCTCTCCTGCAGGCTGCCGACCGCACACTCACTTCTTGCCACTTGACCTCTGACCTGCTGGTCGCCGACTTGGCCGTCACTCAAGGCAGACACTACTGGGCGTGCTCTGTGGAGCCTGGTTCCTATCTGGTGAAGGTGAGAGGGATGCTTGTTGATCAGTCATATTATTATTTTTATAAAGCTGTATAGATGTAAAGCTTTATAATCACAATACCTTACACGCTGACTCAAAGTGCACGACACCAAAGATTTCTGTCCTTCCAACTGTGTTTTGCAGGTGGGAGTGGGACAGGAGGCTAAGCTGCAAGAGTGGTTTCATCTCCCCCAGGACATGGCCAGCCCTCGGTAACCAAATCGCCCTCTCCTAAATGTTGTTTTTGGGCCATTTAGGCCAGCGGGAAATGAATTAATTGTAATGAATACCTGTAGTAAGATGTGAATGACACAGTACTTTGTCACATCCAGTGAGTTTTAGTTTCTGCAGTCAGATTACATGTATCCATGTGATCAGTTATTGATATAGAATACTGATTATTGTGACCTTAACGTACAGAGGACAAGTGAATAGTACCTGTTTGTCTCATTACTACATGATCTCTGTGCAGTTTTTAGGAGAGAGACAGACTTAATAATATCAATACAGTCTACTTTTTAAACAGGAGATACATTTGACTGCCTGGCTTAGTTGTTCTTTTGCATGGTCTGATCATCCCCTCCCCCTCCGCCCCCCCCAGCTGCGACCCAGACAGCGGCCATGACAGTGGGGCAGAGGACGGCCAGGACTCTCCTCCCTTCTGCTTCCTCACAATAGGCATGGGCAAGATCCTGCTTCCTCAAGGACACGGTCACACGCAGAGCCAGGGGGACGGCCAGAGCCTGGGGGCCGTGCACGGCCACGGTGCCAGCCATAATAACCTGCCTCACCCTCACACTGCCCCCCTGCCGCCCCGACTGGGAGTGTGCCTGGACTGTGACAAAGGACATGTCACCTTCTACGACGCCCACTCGTTGCGGGTGCTGTGGGTGGGACACATGGACTGTTCCTCTCCAGTGTGTCCGGCCTTCTGCTTCATCGGCGGCGGGGCCCTGCAGCTGCAGGACCTCGTGGCCACTCGGAGCGTCGAGGAGCCGCCACCGCGGAGGGTAACTATCCAAACGCGCGCAACAAATCTCGGCAAGTAAATTGTGGTTGTGAGACGCAGCTGATTCAGCGATTGAAATTGACATCGGTAAAGATAAACGTGGTTCGTATTCACCACTTCATGTGGCTCAATAATGAACTATATGGTTGCGTTTTTCCTCTTAAGGTCATTGGTGAGATCACAGTATAAATATCTGATGTTCTTTCTGCATTTGCACTTGGCCTGGACATGGAATCTTTTTTTTGGCAATTTATTTTTCTTCTTTCTTTCTTTTTTATTGAGTACTGCTCCCATGGACATTGTGGCTGAAGTGATTTTAGACTATGCAGAATTCTGTTGATAGGGTGAGTAAATCCTCTTTATAAACAGGCTCAATCGGTTTGCAATGTAAAATAAAAGTCTACTCTTCTTTTACACTTGTCTTAATGTGTCCCAGAATGACTGGACAACAAACGTTGCATGCAAGTGTAACCAGGATTTGAAACGTATACATATATGCAGATGACTGACAGTCACCTTGTAAAAGCACCTCAGATGTACAGATGTCTGATTTTATATGTTTATTTGCAATGTAGCCTCAAGAAGTGTTAATGATGTGTATGTCAGAATTAGAGAATGTGAATATTCTTTGGTTGCTGAATCGTACAGTTTTGTTGAGTCATGTCAGCATCTTGTGTCTTTCATTTTTGGTTGGCTGAGCACGCTAACAGTTGCCTCAAGGTTTTCAAAGGACATAAATGTAAAAACGGATCTGAGGAATAAGGTTCTCATGACGCTGCTTAACTCAATAACATGTGAAAATATTTCAGTTTTTTATATTTTGAAAATGCAAGTGGCCTACCGGTTTTGGTGTTTAAGGAATTCTACATACAAATGAATGATGAGCTGTGACGTTCAAGGAAGCGGATGTATTCAAGTCATTTTATTTTGACCAAAATCACAAATACCGCGCTTTACAGTCTGTACACTTGTGTCATCCTGTGTCCCGAAACTGTCACATGGGCACAGGAAAAAACTTTAATAGGTAGAATAAAGGGCAGAGCAGGATGCAATGGATGTCATGTGTACAGAATGAACAACCTCAACGATGTACAGTACGTTCGATTCATACGACAGAAATTATTCAAATATTGAGAGTAGTAAGCCAAGTGTAAGGCAGGACTACTGCAGGGACAACCACCGTCTAGATGTAACCAGATATATATCCAGATGTGACCACCATACGATATGACCACCATCCACAGAAACCTGTGGGGAGGGAAAGCACAAAGACTGCAGGACAGAAGCAGTCAGTAATGTGGGTTTTTGATGACAGTATAGTAATGTGACTCGAAATAGTAATAATTTGTATAGAAGGAGATGGAGAGAGGAGCTCGGTGTGTCCTCCATAGCAGCTTATCTAAGAGCTGGTCCAGGCTAACCCGAGCCGGCCCGCCACTATCCGCTCTATAAAAGAGGAAAGTCTTACGCCTTCTCCTAAGTGGATGGAGTCGGATGATGATATCTTATGAGCTCTGGACTTAATTGGATTTCCTACTAAAGCAAACAGTAGCTAATTTACTTGACTAAGCTGTATCGTCTGAGGAATGTAACATCCCAGTTATATATTGTGTCAGTGCAAGAGATTCTCTATATTGTAATAATTATTATTGACTGGCTCCGTCTGTATTTTGATATGAAATAAGGATTTTCTGATTTGTACATTTGTGTGTGTGTGTGTGTGTGTGTGTGGACTCCGGCTGTGACTGTCTCTAATGACGTGTCTAGACGCCTCTACCTGTGTTACAGCACAGCACTTGAATGACTTCAGACTGGATACGGAAATCAGAATCTATTCATTTGGATTTAACTTTGGCTAACTGAATGTTTCTGTCATGTCATGAGAAAAACAATAAACGATTGATAACCATAACATGCAGTCCCTTTGTAATGTCAGTCATTCCTTTAATGTCTTCTAAAGGAACACAGAGGTAACTATACAAGAGCAATCCTCTTTTAACAACATTACTCTTAACTTTCTTCTAATACCTAAGAAACATTTCCTTTGGTTTGAATTGAGGACTCTCAGGTTGTAAACCTATTTTATTGTCATCATCGCCAGCAGTTGGTTTAATTGTAGTGTGCTATTATGTTGTCACACTTTTGATTGACTGTACACAACAGTGCCCCAGAAGGGATTAATAAAGACACACACTCTCCTTGTTTAAATGTCAGGGAGTGCGTGCGTCTGCATGTAAGGGCAAGTGTGCACTTAATCACTCGAGTGTGCCAGATCTGACAAGCAAAGTGGATATTTCGTACCACAGGGTTTAAATATAGCCGACCCATCCTGTACAGAGTGAAGACACACCTCAAGACGCAGGGGCGTTAGCGCATGTGAGGCGAGGGAGGGGACGGTTCGGTAGCTGGTCCAGTCGGACTGGTGCTGGAACACCCCATCGTCTCCCAGACAGAGGGACAAAGGTGAAAGAGTTCCGTGAGGCTGTTGCGCAACGTCTGGGGGAGTTTGTGCGTTTGTTATGCTCTTGTCACATCAACAAAGAGGTGTTGCAATCCAGCCGGTGTTTGTGCTCTCTGCGAGTATCACTTGTCCTCTGCAGGAATATGTCCTAATATTAATGAACCTTTAGGGGGCGACATTGTTTGTGCTTTGTCTCTTTCCTCAGTAATACCCGTCAGTCAGCAGCAGGTGCACGCTGTGTCAACACGGATTTGACTTCTCCCAAATCTGTGATGACAGGTACCAGATATAAGTTAAGCGGGATGTTCTTTGTGCTATTCATTGTTGCACATGAATTAATATGTAACTCCTCTCTCCCTTTGCCAGCGGTTTGACCTACTTATTTGTCATTGTGAATAAATTTGAATGAACATAAATTATAGTTTGCACATGCCAGTGAGCCACGGCTCACACACACACACACACGTGTTAATCACACGTATCTACATTGCATTAAGACCACACGTACCAAAAGTGGCATTATAATGAGAGCAAACAAGCCTCCCACAGAACAAAACTACGTTGCACCCCATTGGTCCCAGTATTTGTCTAAAAACAGTCAAACTTGAAAGCAGCGTTTTACTAAAGAGTTTTGTAACTGCGCCTCCTCAGGCTCTTGGTGGTTGCATCATTTCATAGCAACAGCTCCGCCTAATGCTCCTTTGTTTACCAAAACACAACTCCTCCCCACTAAAGCTAAGGCGGTGTTTTTCTGTCTTTGCACGCAGGTGTGTTGATGTCAAATTCACCCAATTTCCTGTGTGAATTTGACGTCTTTCTCCGCCAACATTTAGGACCCCCGAGTAACTTCACAAGTCCCAACTGGGGTGCACATTTTTCTGTCTGTACACTGTCAAACTAAATGGTTCTCCTAAGATCCAAGAGGTCCGTCACTGCAGTGAAAGACACACAATCACATGCAATTGAATCCAAATCCACTTTCCATGGTCGCCGCTCTAAAACACTTAAACACATTAAAAACGTGTGCACACCAACCGCACACCAGTCCACTGTTCTGGCTGCATGCCAAAGCGAAGAAGCATGCGGAGACAAGACCGAAGCCCCTGAAGCCCAGTGAGTATTTATGAGTGATCGTTTGTCATTTTTAGACTGCAAACACATTAACTCCCCTTAGTCCTGAAACACCTGTTTGCTTTAAAACCTGTATTCGCTATGTGAGTGTCAGAAAGGATTTGTAGAACATAACCGAATAACAATTCTGTGAGTTTAATGAAAATGTATTTATTCAACTTTTGAAGCTGAAGCAGGTAAATTGAGCTTTGAGCTTGAGACACAATATGTTGTCTTTGAGTCCGTGGTTTCAAACTCAGAGTCTCTGATGGGATGACAAGTGATTCATATAGAACGTGTACGTGGATGCGTTCTGACAGTGTTTTGGTCCACAGGCGGTCCGCTTACAGATTAATGACTAGCTGTCCACATTTCACTTAACTCACTGTTCCCATTCTAAAGGCTGGCAGAGGGGGGAGGAAGACAAGGAGGGAGGAGGACAGGAGACAGACACAGGACACGTTGAACCAAACAACATAACCCAGAGGACACACCGGAGGGCTGCCTGTAAATCTATTTCCGTACAGAGCAAAGGTCTTTCAGCACCAACTGGTAACACTTTTTTTTGTGTGTAAAGTGTGTGTGTGTGAGCAAAAGGAAGGTGGTCTTTGTGTTTTACGTCCGCTGTATGCATCCTTTCAGCTGTGCAAGAGCTCCGAGGAGAAAGAAAAATGCTGATTAGAAAATAAAAACAAAAGCTTGACAAACTGGTAAATCTGAGAATAGAAAGCCACTTGCTGCACCCTGCACACGGTTCCCCATAAAATACCTGGTCCGACAACTGCACAAACAACAGAGTACAGGTAGACCAATAAAAAGCCACGAGACAGGGCCTCACAATGAATGCTGAGCAGGGAATTTCCAGTCTAGCGAGGCGGTTTAATTTGCTGCATCAAGCAAGCTTCAAGGGATTTCTTTCATTTTTTTATATAAATCTGTCTGACAGACCTGACTATCACTGCAGATGATCCAAGGGGCACAAAACACAGCAGTCAGCTGTGTAACAGAAAGTGTGGGAGCAGGACTGCGGGACCACCGAGTCATTTTAAAAGAGATTTTAAAAAGGAGGAAGGGAGATGGCCCGGAAGGATGAGTGAAGCGCATTCCTTTCCTCCCTCTCGTCCTCCTCAAAAACAGCAGCTGGGACAGGTGGGCTTTTACTGATGGTAGAAAGTAACCTCCCCCCCCCTCCTCCCCTTCAGTGTGCTGTGTGTTTATGTGCCGCGGACGCACACACTGTCTGGCTGCAGATTGCATGTTAGCAGAGACTTTGTTGGGTGCAATTATGGGGGAAAACAAATCTGTGTAAGAGACACAATAAAGTGAATACATACTATGTGACTGTGTGTGTGTGTGTGTGTGTGTGTGTGTGTGTGTGTGTGTGTGCTGTTTAAAGAGGCTCCCTCTGCTTCACCTCAGGAAACAGAGGGATCCTGTTTGTGAGTTGTGCTCATTGTTTAGCAGACCCCCCCCTAATCATCTCCTACTCCTCCACACACACACTCCTGTACACAAAACCTGTAATCCGCTTCGAAACGCCCCGTGTCAATATTTGGCTGTGGAACAAAGAGGTGTAGCCTTATACATCAGCATAAGGACAGATAATAAAGCCATAGTTTGGAATGAGGGGTGTGTCCGGTCTGTCCTAATGCATTGTCCCTCCAGCCTTAAAGTTGTCTGTCTCTCTTGTCCAGTAGAAGAATGGACAACTCCCCAAACTCCTGTATCTTCTCCTGGAATCATTTACTCATTTTTCTCCCGTATAAGCCTGCCCTTTCCTCATATATGACTCATTTCTATTCCCAGGGTCCCCAATTTATCTTATCTGTATCTGGGCTGTGCAGCAGACAAGATTAATCACTTTTATGCACGACTTCTTTGTCTCCACATCTCAACTATGGGATGGGTTGCCATGACGTTTCGTGATCCTCAAACTAAGGATATTACTAACTTTTTATGGACTACTTTCTGTATGTAGTGAAATGTGTCAACACGTCTCTATTGGGGACATTCTTGGTTGTCAGATGATGAATGTGATTTAAAATTCTCAATATATAACTGGTGGTAATTTGTGGGGTTTGACATTCCCATCTCCCTCAAGAGGAAACAACAGCACTATACACGCCAGTCCTAAACGTCGCCTTTGAATTCTTGTTTCCCAGGTTTCAGCATTTCCTTCTTTTGTCTCATTTCTACATTCTTCTTGTTTGCCACTTCATCTCCTGCTCAAAAGGTTTCTCCTTTCCTTTGCTGTTCCCTCGTTTGACTGCGGCTTATTCATCTCCCACCTTGAGTCCTCTCAGCGTAGTTATTTTTCTACACAACACCCCAAGTACAGCACCACACTGTGTTGTGTCTGTAGTCTGTCAGTGAGAGGCTCTTTGAGCTCAGGAAGAGAGGCCAATGTCACACACACACACACACACACGATGAGAACCTCTAGCGTGGCCTTTCCCACCACTGCCCTCTCTGTATCAACACAGTCACACAAACAAGCTCATTTGCACTGGTGCACCATCAAACCGGCTTTTGTCCTTCGTTGCACACATGCCAGCGAGCGCACACGCAAGGTGCGCGCACACGCTTATCTCCACAACTCGCCCTCTAAGCTCACCGCTACAAACATGACACAACCTGCGGCACAAATTTTACTACTTCAAAAAGGGTCACGGACAGTTTTCTTACTTTGCCGTACCGGAAAGATCCTTCATGGCCACAGGTTAAAAACGCAAGTCATTGATGGTTATGGTAAGAATTTATTTACATCCTTTAACAGTGAATGATCAGCACTGACAATCGGCTCATTTGCATAACATGCTTTTCTCCTGCTTATTACACACAATAAGCAGGAGAAAAGCAAGGCTGAATTAGCCCTGACAGCCAGCCACCATGGAAATAAGCATCCCTTATTCTTGTAAACAAACCCTAGCAAATTAATGTCCTTTTTCATGTTATTTAATCTCAAATGCAGTTAAGAAAAAAAAAGAGGTAAAAAAGCATCAACAACATAACATCTGAACGTGAAAAAAATAAACATGTGTATTTAAAAGACCAAAACAAATATAGCTGCAGCTCAATATTCTGTATGCACAGTGATACAGAAGCTAGTAACTTTGAAGAGGAACATCATCGCCGTACCAGGGGAAATATAAAACTATATATTACCAGGGAGGAGAGCACTACCTGTGTATAAAAATAGCAACCAGCAATTTACAACTTCTTTGGCTAGTATGAGTTTAGGAAGATATCCAACTCACTGAATTGTGAACATGCTGCAAAGGTCCTGCTGGTAAAATCAGTCATCGATCTTAAATAGAAAACAGGGTCTAAGAGAAGGCACTTACTTAATGGACACAAAAATATAAACTTTTGAATCAAAGACGTCTGACTTTTTTCACATATACCTTCCCGAAGTGACAACAAGTAACCAGACGTTATCTCCACTTCATTTGTGGTCCAAAGACAGTTTGTTTCCCTCCACTGTCTCTGTGCATGGTTACAAATACAAGCCTTGGCAAAGCCTCGACGCAGCCAACAGATCTGTCACCTGCTGACATTCACCTGCTCATATATGCATGGACTTATACGCCGGCGAGCTCTGATTGACTGACGCAAATCTCCAAAACAGATAAAACCTGATGAGACTGGTGAGGATTCCCGGCGTGTTTGGAACCTGGAACCAACACAAAGAATTAGGAACGCTGGTTGTCATTTAAAATGAAGTTGAGGGCTGTTAATGGCTCTGATTGAGGTGCACACTCGTTGTATCTCACCACAATGAAGTAGTCGTTCAGCTGGAGGCCGTACAGGACCCAGGAGGTTGATGTGAAGAAGGTGGCTACAGTCAGAGGGAAGGACAAGCACGTCACATCCCCACTACGCACTATCTGCACCTAAAAGGGAGAGAAAGACAAAACAGCAACAATTTGTTAGGAAAAATACCTCGAAGCGGATTACAGGTTTTGGCAAACGTCAAGGCACACTCATTGACATTACTAGATGAAGTAGCTTTAAACAGGTACCATGAAGCACATTGAAATCCTAAAACAGTTTTTGCAAATGACCACAAATGGTTATCTATATTAGGAAAATCATTCAGAAATAAAAGCTTATGTGTGTTAAAAAATGCCATTGAAATAGCACACTCAATTATCGATCACCTGCACTGAGAATGCACCGCTGTGCACACTTGAAAACAATTAATTAAATAGAAATTAGAGGGATTCAGATTTGCTCTTTAGTGGGCACATTTTGTAGAGATTTAAAAGTAATTGAGTTTGAGTATGAGTAATGACAATAACACATTTGTTTCCTCATTCCATTTTTGCACATAGGCTAGAATTACAGCATGCAATTCAAGTGAGTTTAAGTTTTCTGCAAAAGACGTCTAACTGATAAACCAACTGCGAGGCACCAGCACACTGGGAAAGTAGACCAAGTTACTTTGTTTTTTATTCACTTTTTCTTCCCTTTTGTGCTGCACCGGCACTGAATGCCTTTGAGGACGGTAGCTGAAAATGTGTTGCACAATCCCCATATTTAAATGAGTCTGGCATCTTTGAATAATGAGCACCAACACGACAACATGCTGAATGGGAGGAGAAGACAGAATGTCAGCGAGGAGATGAGTTACAAGCAGAAAGAGATGGAGAATAACAGGAAGACACAGATGAGGAGAAAGAAAGGCAGGAAACAGACTGAGGGTCATTTCAGAGACAGAGACAAACAGGATAGTAGTTTGAGCTGCAAGATGATAGGAAAAGAAAGAGAGAGAAGCAGGGATTCATTCCTTCACTGGTAAATAGCTGCACGTGCCGTTGTCTGACCTGAACAGATGCCGTTTGTTGTCTTTGCAGGAGTTTAGCATATGGTCAGAAAAGAAGACAGAATGTGCCGCTTACAGCTCAGTGTGTTGAAGTTCATAGTGGGACGTTTGTATGAAAACAGCTTTTGCAACACATTCAGTGCTTGGAAATATCTACCTGCATCAAAACGCAACATTTATTGGTACAGCCCCGTGCCACATTTTTTTTGGGGGGGGGGGTGGGGGGGGTGTTAATAGAAGAAAAAGCAGCCATGACTGAGCGATCACACACTGAGCTGAGCAATAACTCTTACTGCTACAGACTTACTGGGTGGTAGAAACTCAATGCCGTATGAAATTAGATATGACACTAATCAGGGACGGTTTACGATTATATCAAAGTCTATCGTGCTTCATTACCATGCCACGAACATCAGTTTGATGAAAATCAGCGTTGCAACTAATATACGTTAAAATTGACTCATTATTAAACTAACTAATTTTGTTCGAGAAGAAGAACCGATTTCCTGTGACGTAAAACTCAGAAAAGCATAAATGTTTAGAAATGCATATAAATAATTGAAATAATAAATTGATTTATTATTGAATTAAATAAAAGTACAAAAATTCTACTTTGAGAAGCAAACCAAAAGATTTCATGATGCAGAAATACCCATTTGAGAGTTGTGTGTAAAATGTTACTGGATTATAATTAGCAATATATTATTGCATAGTTCCCTTTAATGTTGCAGCTGGTAAAGGTGGGAGTGAATCTATTTAGCTAAATCTATTTACTTAATATACTGGGAGACATCTTGTGAATTTCATTCTGAGGGCCAGGACAGTTCCTTGTCCCTTATCTCAACCAGCATCATGAATTATTAGACAAAGGACATTTGTTCATCGCCTTTTGTGCTTCATTTGACTTTGCAAATGCCGTCTGTATGCAGTGATTCTCCGGGTAGCATGTGAGCGTGTACCAGGTCGGTGAGCGGTGACAGGTACATGCTGACGGTCACCACGCTGCAGGTGAGGCCCAGCTGGCTGAGGCGAGTGTCTCCCTCCGGAAGATACGTGGTGAAGTAGAACCAAGCGCAGGTCAACACCGTCCCTGCAGCAGCAGTCTGTGTCATCACCAGCCTCTGAAACACACACACACATACAAAGAGAGAGAGGGGTCAGTAGAGAAACAGTTGCACACCCGAGTGGCCCAAGTTTACATTCCCTCTCTTACCTTTTGTTTTGTGTAGTGGAGGTACACAATGATATAGAGGACCTGGAGTAGAGCTCCAATGACGTTGACCAGGACGATGGTCCGATCCGTCTTCAGAAGCCCATAATAGAGCCAGCCCAGGTTACTATGGAAACAGGACGAGCATCAGACATGAGCAACCTCTGGTTTTCCCAATCGCCCAATGAGCACCAGAGTAGAAGACAATAACGCTACAGAACTGAGGCACACACACACTCACTTAAGACACGTGGTGAGGAAAGGGAGAAACTGGATATTCTCAGCACTTTTGGATTCTTTCATCTTCTTCAGGTCGGTCCTAGAAGCGTGAACAGGTAAACAAACAGCTTATACAAATGAGGGAGTAACAAAGTCAACAAGTCACTGGCTGGCCTCTTGTTTCTTAACAACCACTAACTCAAAGGAGCAAATGACAATGAAAAAATTGCAATACGTCATTAAGACATTAAATGATGAGATATTTAACTTACAGTCCAGTCGAGAACATCCCGACTGTGAACACGATGCAGGCCCATGACAGAAGGTGGATTGAATCCATAGAAAAACCAGAGAAAAGCGAAACAGACGCCCCTGTTCTGTGATGTACGAGCGATGTCTGCTTTTCAAACACGAATGACTGAATTGCATGCGATTAAAAACGGAATAACACAACACGGACGCCCTGCTGACTTCACTGCGTTTCCGTGTTTGCAGTCAGTGTGCACAGCTGCTTCGCGCTCTGATTGGCTAAGCGAGGAAGCAGGCGGGGTGGGTTTGCTCCAATAGGATGCCAATACGATAGGACACGTCGATAATGTGACGTCATCACGTTATAAGAATCGGGACGACGCGGATGGAGCAATGATGGAGGCAGCTGGTGGATTTAAACTTGCAGATGGAAGCCATGTGAAGGTATCATTTATGCAGTGGTAGTGAAAAACAGGAGAAGTAAAAAAAACAACTAAGAACTAAGAAGTTGGATATTGTTTGAACTTCTCAATATTGGAGTTGTGTTGTGTACTGTGTTAGCCTATGGTTGTGTTGATTTATAATATGTACATGTACTACTTACCAAAGCACGTGTTGCAAAGGAGTGGAGTTTGAAAGAAATCAGGTAAAAGATACTTTGGGGTTTGATTTTATTCCTTGTTACTGATTGTTATTTTCTGAGATCCACAACCTTCTCAAAGTGCAGTACTAAATTGCTGGAGAACAGGAAGAAGAATGAACTATTATTAAACTCTTTCAATTCTTTCATTTTTCTTGTGAATTATTGTATATGTTTACAAATTCAGACCCCTAAAAAGAATTAAAAAAATGAGACAAGGTACAAAAGGTATTACAGTTATATCAACAATTTGATGATCTTCAAAATGTTCACATTCAGGTTGAGGTTTTGGCATTCTGTGGGTGTTAAAAGAGATCAATAAAAGTATTATACTGCTTAAAATACCATTTAAAAAAACTCCAAAGCAATGCACCAGTGAAATTTTAATCTCCTTCAATATATAATTGTTCTAGTCAGTGGACCATTTGGGCTGCATTCTGTTATTTCATGGATATTACATCCAGCATTTGAAATAAGGATTCATATTTCAACTTGTGAATTAAAACCATAACCAGTAAAGCCAACTTGCTATTCATCAACGCTCAGGTCAATTTCATGCCAATCTCCAAAGTACCTCTTTTCATCAAGGACCCACTGATCAGCTGACCTCCCTCCTGTGTCAGCAGCTGAGAAGCTCTAAACACAGACCCTTTTTTACCTTTCAAACCTCCCTCAGACTTGAGCTTTCTCAGCACTCTTTGATGTATAATTGTCGTCCTCCTTCTTCATTACTTTATCGTCTCTAGCTTTCATTTTTGCATTTGATTGACTTTTTTCCCCCGCTTAATCTCATTTCTCAACATATGCTTTTTTGGTCTTTGTTGGTCATTAAATTGCAATATTGCCAAAGCCCACTGAGGTTTTACAACAATGTTGTCTAACCTTTCTCCTTTCCATAATAATAATCTATAATAATAATCCATTTCCTGACATTTCAAACCCTCCTTTGGCAGATGATGGCAGGTAATCTTTAGAGTGAATAGGGAAATAGTACCTTGTTGCTCACCAACAGTAAATGAATGTGGATTTTACAGGAATTTCTTACAGAGCATCCTTAAGGTTAAGGACGCAGGTTTAATGATTATGTTATTTGTAAATCTTACGGTTACAATATGGCTGCCTTTTTGTGATGGTTTCATCAGACACATTTAAAGTCTTGTGTTAACCTCTTACACAGATTCACAGGAGCTATTTTTCTGATAGTGCGCGTGATCATCTGTGGCTAATTCGAACCAAGACGTGATTGTGGAAAAAAACAAACAGCCGCTTTGAACGTATACGTTGCATGGTTTTACACGGGATGGTGACTTTTGACAGTTTTCAGTCAGCTCTCGGCTCTGCGGGTGTGGAGTTGTGTGCACTGAGCTCTTCATTCCAACATGCCACTGTGCAGATGAAGCATGTACAGGGAAGAAAAGGCGAGAAAAAAAGTGTGTGGGTGAGGAGGCAAGAGAGTGACACCATCACACCTAGTTGTCAGTTTGCTTGTGGGCCTTTCTCTCTGTCCTCTCACGCCCTCATCGCCCCCCCTGCTCCTCGGTTCTTGTTTGGTTTTCAGACTGTGAAGTCTGTAGCAGGCGGAGCTGAGTAACCAGGGATGAGAGAGGGGAGCGGATCAGAACGGAGGTCGGGAAAGACCTCGAAGTAGAGGGAGACTTCATGGTGTATGCCAAAATATGTATCATGTACTTATATCCATCAAAGTGTCAATGATGTCAGTGGGATTTCAACACCCGAAACAAATGTCACCAGCGCTGATAAAAAAAGCAGAGAAACTTTTCATAACAATCACAACTTTATTTTACGAAATATTTTCACATCTTGAAACGGTTTCTTATAATTTTCTCTATATACACATTTACATATAAACATTTACAAAAAGCAAAACAAGCTAACATGAAAATATACATCTGAAAATGTATTCTTGGAAGTCCATTCAGTTGGAGGTTTCACAATGTGCAAGTGGAATCACAGCTGTGCGTCAGCCAGTGTACCATGTGCTGTAGAAATGAGTACTGAGGAGGCTCAGCTCCCTAAAACCGTTCAGCAGTGTTTATCTCAACCCCAGCGACTGATTCTTTGTCAGACTAAAGAGATATAACAGACGGGAGGTGATGCATCGGGGAGTTGAATGCTACAAATTAACAAAAATGACGTTAAAAGCTGGAGATAAGGAGTGTAATCTGTACCAATGGTAAAAAAAAAAAAAAAAAAACCACACAGGACACTGACAATAAACTTGTCATTTTCAAATTGATAACAATCCGTTAGTATTTTGATCAGTTTGCTTGCAGTTTTGTTCATAAGGAAAACGAGTGTAGTTTAAAAAAAAAAAAAAAAGGTCAAATGAGAATTGTCATCCACATAATAAAAAAATAAAAAGTCCTCTTCGGAACGATCCACATTCCACACACTCAAAACGCACACTGACGCAACTGTCCCCAAAAAATCGGTTCATGGTCCCCAATGACCAGCATTGAGTTTGCATTGTCTCTGTCGCACTTTGCCTTTGCTCAGCCTCAGTGTAGCGTCTGGGCCAACAGCACCGAGATGGTGGTCAGGACAAGTGAAAATGAGACCAGCTGCGCTCCTGAACTGCCGATGCTCCTCTGAACCTTTGGCTCCATCACAGCAGGGTCGTCTGAGGAAACAAATGGGAGGGGGAGTCAGTGTTGAGTTGCATCATTCAGCCAAAGCAAACACGCCCGGCTGAACTCATCTCAGACATGGGGCTGCTTTGACTGTTTTACATCTGTCTTGTATTTCTTTTTTTTTGGGAGTGGGGGGGGGGATTCTCACCTGCTGGGAGCCGGTTAGAAGGGTTGTGAACTCCTCCAGCAGCACCTAACTTCACTTTTTCAATATTTTCTTTTGCATTTCCCGCCTTGACTTTCTCCAAGTTGTGCTTTCCGCCGCCGTGTTTTCCGGCGCCGTTTTGTCCGACCACGTCCACCCTCAGCCTCAGGCAGTCCTGGCCGTGGTGATGCATTGGCTTGGCTGCGGAGGGTCAGAAAGAGCGGAGCGTTTTAATACGGGACACCTTCTCCTCAGGAGCACACTGAGAATACTGCTTTTTTAGTTCTTCATACTTACAGATATAATAATAGCTCTCTCCCTGTCGGAACTCCTTGCCCAGGGTGAAGGGAGTAAAACGCTGGAATTTCTCAGAGAATTTCTCGGGGGCGTGGGGGGCGAACGGCCGCGAGCACTCCCAACGGAGCTGGTCGAAGGAGTGAGGCTTGCACACCTCGTAGTCCTCCTTCTCCACCATGTACAGCACGTAGCGCTCGGCCGCGTGCGATGACACCTCGCCGTGGCCGTAGTGCGGGCAGACGATGTCCAGATAGTCGTTGATGCGCACTTCGACTGCGTACTCCTCCAACAGGAAGCTGCAGAGAGACGGCAGGAGAGAAGTGAGGTTACTGACAAATACACACACACACACACACGCACACGGCAATCAGGCTTTACTCCCACGGATGACAGGCGTCACCACGGGCACAGTGTGTTTACCCGGTCCGGTGAACAGAACGAGAAAACAGCCTCATCAGGTTGCACCTGTTCATCGGTCTCTCGTAAAACGTACCGCTGCCTCCCGCGCCTTCCCCGCCCTCTTGCCTCGCTTGGCCTCGCGCACACGTTTCGTACGACAGCGAGAGACCTCCCGATGTCCCCTTTTCACCTTTTCTGCGCGTCGAGTTGGCGGCTTCTTCTCACCCGGATGCTTGTTAAAACCGGTGCCGAGGCTCCCGTTGGGACTCCTCGCGCTAATTCGCCCCGTCTCTGTCTGAAGCCCTGTCACTCAATGACTCGCTGGTTGCATCAAAGGCCGAGAGGGTGGAGACAGTCAGACTGTCGCCCTCTCGCTCGCTTTTCATCTACACCCTTCATTTAGTTTTACGGCTCTCTTTGAGCCTCCTCCCCGTCTCCTCTATCCTCACTTCCTAGGCCCGCTTGGTGGTCCTAATCAAGCACCACCAGAGAGAGAGAGAGAGAGAGAGAGAGATGGTGGAAAAAGAAGTAAGGAATCCTGCAGTAGTAGCTTATACTCCATGAAGGTTCCTGATCCTCAATCTAGTCGCGTTTTATCTGAGTGGCGGCTTGTGAACGCACCGGTTCAGCCTGTGCTGTGAGTGAAAGTGACACAAAAATGAAAAAAACAGCCTGTTTGTCTGCTATTGTTTATGTGTAAGTGCGTTTGTCGCTGCATCAAAGCATTAGACGTGTTGGCCCCCCGGGCCCCCCTCCCCTGTCCCTGTTGTTGTGGCTTCTGTCGGGACCCCCTGGCCGAGTCACAGACACACTGGCTCCAAATGTGGGCCTCTAACCCCTCCTTCCTGCCTCTTTGTGTGCGTGTGTGTGTGTGTGTATGTGTGTGTTAGATCCTAACCTACCTGTCAAAACATGCTTTGTTAGCTGAGCACAACTCTGCACTTGTTATCCAGGGCTAACAGGCTGATCACCGCCCTCCACTTGCAATCACTGCTCTCTCTCTGTGTGTTGGTGTGCAGGCAGTTGTTTGTTCGTTTGTGTGAATATGCGCGTGTGCGTCGGGGAAAGGAAGAGAGACAGCTTCTAGCAGCCTAATTGGCCAAATAATCTATACTTTCATCTTGTTGTTTTCTGTGAGTCACACAAGGCACTTGGAGAGACACACAAGGAGATTTCTAGCTGCTCCTGCTTAAGAAAGGGGTCATTTTAAAATGGTATGGGGGTTAACCTTTTTCCCACACTGTGTGCTTATTAGTGGTCTGAACGACCACCGTATGAAAACAAAGGCTTGTCAAAAGCCAAAAAAACAACATATATTCTGTTGCTAATTCCATTCACAACTCATGCTTTTAAGAAAAGGGGCCTTTATCATTCTCTTAACCTCCTTGTTTCCCTTCTCCTCCTCCTCTTAGCCATTGGTCTTGCTAATTAAAAGCTGTTAGATGTCTGGGGCCAGCATGTTCTAAGAGGGGGGGAGGACAAATGAATGGGGTGTAATTATGCTCTTTCACTCGCGAAAGACAGATTGCCTGAAGGCTGGAGGGCCCCTTTAACCTCTGTACCTTACCCCATGTGGAGCTTTCACTACCCTGACTAGCATGTGTGTGTTATACGTGTGCTCATGTGACGCTCAATGGTTTTTTTTTTTGCGGCTTGCTTTTGAGTTTCCAGAATTGAAGAAGCTTTTTTTCTTTTTTTGTGCTGTGGTTTGTGGCATCTTTACGCAACGATCGGTCAAAAGCACTCAGCACAATTTTGGAGCGCAAACACTTTCCCCTCCACCCTCCCCTCTCCGTTCTCACTCCTCAAAGCTCTCCGCTCTGGAGAGTCTCGCCTCTCCCCCGAACCACTATCGCCTTTGAAACGAAAGTTCCCGGCGGAGTGGGAGTCGCATTAACGTGATAGCTGTGTCGCATGCGAGGGTGAGAGCCAGGTGGTGGGAATAGTTGCAAGCCTTCTTCTTCTTCTTCTTCTTCTTCCCGTGTCCTGGTGTGTTAGTGCGTCTGTGAGAGGGATTCTCTGAAGACCCTTATTCAGGGCGCCTCATGCCCCGGGCCCTGGAGCACATCTGTTCACCGAGGCCTGCTGACGCCTCTTGTGTGTATGCGTTTTCTTGCATGTGACTGAAGGTGTGGGTAAACAGCGAGGGTTGAAGGTGGCTGCAATCCTTCTTCCTCGCTGCTACAAGCAGCTCATCTCTCACTGCCAAGCTACTCTGGCTTTTTTGCGTCAGTTGTGTGTGTTACGAGGGTATAAAGTAGTTATGGCAGTACAGGCGAGTTCTCCAACACTTTGCCTTCTCATCCAAGCTTTGAAGTTGTGCCATTGTTCTTGCCCCCCTGCACCACTTTCCTGCGAATTCTTCCCCGAGCCGTCGCTTGTATCCGTCAGACGACTGACACAGGAACTCCTGTCCGTCACCGTCCCCACGGGGAGGGTTTCGGACTGGCGGCCGGGTCCAGGGGTCGGAGTTCAGGGTTGCAACGCGCACTCGCTAGCATCTGACTCAGCACAGAGGATATTTTGTTTCGCACGCACAGAGCAAGTCAGCACTACAGAACCACGAAACAGACGCTTCGTTCCCCCTTTTGTTCTCCAGTTCTTCGAAAGGGAGTGTGCATACAGGGAAAGGCCACACGGGGGGGGGGGGGGGGGGCTGTGGTTTGGATGGTTTACAGTTTTCTCACTCATCAAATTTCCAGTAACACGGCTCACACACTTTTTACTGTGACGTGTCCGCTTAATACCAGATTCATTTTCTGTGGTGTAGCAGATTCACACCTCTTTTCGCACAGGAGCTGTCAGTGGTTCTAATGGGATTGGCTGCTCACTAGTGGAATACGCCATTACAGCTCCTCTAATGTACTTTTTATTAACTTCCAATGTAATTTACCATCCTCCTTCCTCCATCTTACAATAGGAAACCCATGGGAATTCTTCCTAAACTCTGCACCAATACAACCTGCAGTCTCAACTTCAATTTATAATCTAGGACTGAACGTAGTAAATATTACCACACGAATATCTGCTTGCTCATATAAGAATGCATCAAATAGCGGAGAATCCTGTATTATTTTTTTTTTGAATTGTTAACCATGCCATTTCTCACTTATTTAATTCCTAACTTCTCCACTCCCTTCATCCATCAGTGTCCACTCTCTCCTCCCTCCATCTGCCTCTCCTTTATTCCAGCAAAATCAGCCCATCCCCCCCCGGTCTCTTAACGGTGACATAATATACCACCGTGCTTTATCCAGGCTAATTTCTCAACACAAATCCCTTTCTCCAGTTCACCCTTGTCTCACCCTGCACCCCGGCCTTTGGTCCTCCTCCTCCTCCTCCTCCTCTCTGCCCCCCCCAAAATCTTTTCACCCAGACTCTCCTTTTTGTAGCCTCCTTTTCCACTTCCAATGAATAGAAGAAGGCCCAATAGGATCATCTTGGTTTAAAATGGTTTTGGATATATTTGCATGCCTTTGTCCTTTTTTGTCAAGGCGAGACGAAAAAGTTTAGCTAACTTCTTAGAACTCAAATTTAATATTTCAACTTCCTCCTGGATGTACACATTTATAATCATTTAGAAGAAAAGAAAATGCTGGCGGAAGATCCCTCTAAATTACTGTAGGCTTGATGTCATTCTACAAAAATTGGGGTGGGCGGTCTGTCCTTTAGAGGGCAATAGTGGGCTGTGGACACTAAAGTATGCCTGAAATGCTATGAATGACCATTGTACACATACGCAAACACTCGCATGCCTGCCCTGACATACTACGATAAAGCTTGGCAAAAAGCATGGCCTCTCTAATGTTAACAGAGCCTGAGAGGGGCTCGGTCCGTCATCAGGGTGGAAAACTACTGGGAGCAAAACAGAGGATGGTCTGTGAGGAAAGAGGGGGACCGATGGAGGGGGGGGGGGGGGAGGAAGTCTGGACCACAGATAAGGAAACGAGAGGAAGAGCAGAGAGAAAACAGAGGTGCATGGATACTGTGAGGCGGGAGGGACACGGATACGATGTATACTGTGGTTGAGGTTTATGATGCGGGACTGTATGTGTGGAACCATTTGACAGTGTGTTGGGTAAGAAGACGGTTTTATCAGCTGGGTACACACGAGGTCTTCTAATATTAAACGGGTGGGATGCATAGGAAGCGTCATGGAGACGCCCTATGGTGATTGTAATTGATTGTTCTGACGTGGATCCCATCTGGGAGATTATGCTGGGAATGATCCACTGGGACACCTAAAAGGTTTATTAGGCAATTTGTATAATGGTTACACTATACAACCCAACGACCCAGATACAAATGTACAGATGCACCTTTACAGACTATAGAGGACAAGGCATAATCATTACATCACAGGGGCATAAATATAGATAAAATAAAGCCAGAAGGATGATGTTTTTGTGTCTACGGGTCGGATTACAGGCCATTTCGTAATCTATGTTAGTGTGTGTGAGATTATGCTCAGATTACAGGCCTTCAACCAGACGGGACGTAGGCTGGGGAAGGAGAAGTAATGAGTGGAAAGAGAGAGGGAACAAAATGTATAAAATGTGCAAGTTGAGTGGGTAATCTGGGGGGCGGGTGGGGTCTGCACTCCAGGCTACACGTACGTGTCACGGCAGGCCCGGCGGCTCTAATAACAGGCAGAGCCAGACACCCGCGGAGATAAACAGACCGTTACATTGCACCAAAGTCCTGATAAAGAGCCGCCCTGGATGGTGGAAAGCCATCCGACAAGACAAATAACGTAGTCAAAAGAGGAGGCTGTGTTTTAATCGGTGCGGAAAAGTGGAGATTTTGAATGCCAAATAGTCAGTAGGTATGGAGAAAAAAAAGGGGATGGAGGGCTTGGGGCCAGCGGGCAGTCTGGGAGGAGACCCAGCTGTTGAAGAGAGGAAAAGGAGTGAAGATAAGGAGAGGAAGAGATGCGTTCTGTCTACTGGGAGAAACACACACACACACACACACACACACAAACACACACACACAGCTGACAGCGTTGAGTATAGTAACAGCGGGGAGGAATGCTGGCTCTGGCTAATATTAACATCCAAGTCTTGCCTCTTGACCCCCCCCCCCCCCCCGGGTGTGTAAGTGAGTCACACATTGATCATGTCTCGGTAAGCCTGCTGACGGGAATGGCCACTCCTTATTTCACGCTGACGTTTGCCTCACTCACGTGCTGCCCGTCCATAACAAAAATAAAAAAACACTTCCTGTAAAAGGCTGGTCGGGACAAGTTCAAAGTCTCTCGCGCACACGGGCGACACAGGCAGGGACACGCAGTCTAAAAACAAGACCCGACCAGATTGAGAAAACCATCCGTCCATCTGTCTTTTAGGAAACTCACACGTACACCAAAACACCGGCGTGTCAAATCGCTGCAGGTCTTAACTTACATACAAACACACACACACACAGCTGATGCCAATGTACATCACGGATCTATACTCCTCGACATGAATGGGCAGACTGCTGCCATCTGGTCACTGTCCTCCACCTACGACAAATCACTGCTGCTCAATCAGACCAAGAATCAATTAGCATTAATTAGCCGCGGCCCACTGCCGTCACAGCCCCGCTGATGGATCCCCGGCAGCCTGAACAGGTGACCGATGGATCACTGGGGGACAGGTGGGCTTTTAGCTGTAAAGAACAATATAAAAAAAAGAATAGGAAGATAATGGTAAAAAGAGAAGTGAAAGGTGAGGAAGTGGCACTTTAGTCCGCCAATTATGGTTTCAGTTCAGCTTTTAGCTGCAAGACTGTCATTTCTGTGCCTGACTTTTCATTATTTCCCTCGTCACCTGTCAAGTGAACAACTGAGAAATTGAAATGTCTCGATCCCAAAGTGGGACAGAATACATTTGCTACGCGTCTTTTGTAGCCATTGAGTTATATTATACTTTTTCTCCTGTTTGACAGCAGTAATAGTGCAGGACAGTAGCAGAGACCACTCTGGACCTTCTTTTGTCTTCTTCATCATTTGAAGGAAAAACTCGAAGATCCAGTTCCCTCTTCCAAAAAGCCTCTTTTCACATTCCCGCTCTACCTGCGCTGTGTCTCACCTGCCCTGCGTGCGTGTGTGTTGTGACTCAGGTGTAGAACTGCGTGGGCCTAACCCCGAGCCGTGAGTCACACACGGACTAACCCATGACGACAGGGCTTTCCATTAGACTTCTTATCCAATTATCAGGACAATTGTTTTCCTTGTTAAGGGCCTCTTTTTTTCCCTGTGTCTTCTTAAGAAGGGCAATTAGAGAGCCGGTAATGTAATCAAGACAAGACTAAAAGGCTGTAACGGCTTTTGCCCTCGTTTCGTCTCGGTGGCGGATTTTAGAAATCGACCCAAACCCGGCAGTCAACGACCGTCCTCTGGTTTCAGCCCGCTGACAAAATAATACCGCCGTTGGAGCGCGGGGATCACTCCCTGCACCATAAAAGCTCAATAAATCACACTGCGATATTACAAGTCTGCAAAGCTGCATCGATCCCACTGAGTGGTTGGATTACATTTCTGACCTCAAAACAACATAATCAGCAATAGAGCCTCTTATGAGAAAACACTAACGCATTGGCATAAAAGTGATTATGAAATTAACCTACTGATTCATTTTAATTCATAGGCTTTCCATTACACACACACACACACACACACACACACACACACACACAGGCGCAGATCTTACAGATAACATCGCCGGCCAAGTTCATACTAGCCAGTCTATTTTCTACTATTCGAGTATGTCTGGGTCTATGTGTAGGAGTTAAATATAGTGGTCCATCTGTCTAGCCATTCACTTACTATCTGCGGATTTTAAACCGTACAGCTGGTGCTGCTGCATAGTACTAGTACCCTGATGACGATCCTGTAAGACGAGTTTAAAGAAAAGACTACACACCTCCAACGTCACAACAACAAGAAGCTTAGTTGTAACCGTTCAAGAGCTTAAGGACACACGGGGCCACGCGGGTAATGTGGAGACTTTATGGGCAGAACATGACAGAAACATTGTCACACAGACGGAGCAGTGAGTCTTTGACGCTTTTTCTCTCTCAACACATTAGACAAATCCAGGCACACGCGCACACGAGATCCGGACTTACTTCGGATTGGAGCCGTTCCAGTAGACGCTGTGTCTCTCCGCACATGCGAACCAGGACCCGACGCTCATCGCCAAACACAGCAGAAACGTCAAATCCATCCTGCCTCTTCTGCACGGGGAGCTCACCGAGTTCACTTAGCGAGCGATGCTCTAAAGACGCCTCAGTCGTTGGAGACTTTAACGCGTAAATGACGTGCGCGGGACTTTACGCTACTGAAGGACTTGGAGGGAGTTAAATGGGACGCAGTCGACCGGAGCACTATCGCAACTCTTGACTGCTTCACCAGAGCGCACCTTTCGGTTTTATCTGGCCTCGGCTCCGCCCCTCGTTTTGATGCCAGCCAATAGCTGTAAGATAGTCGGAGCGCCCCGCCCACTGCTCCCATCCCACAATGTGCACTTTACACCAGAATAACTGAAAAACAAAAACAACCCGCCTAGAACAAGCCTACAATGAAACCGCGTTAGCATAATAAAGACATATAAGGCAATGGGGTGACAAGTCAATTACGATCAATAGCAAAGGGAAAAAGTAAATCAACAGTAGAAAATCAACGCTGAAACACATATCAATGCAGGACAATGGGTGTTGTTTTATTTTTATGAGCAGCTTAACCAATATCTAGTTTAGCCAGCTGTGAACAGGTTTTATCAGACTGAAATCACTAATAATAGCATATAAGATGTATCATAATAAAATAAAATAAAGTGATTTTATATAAAAATGTACTCAAGAAAATGAATTACAAGTTAATAAATTAGTCTAAATGCGTGGATTTCAAACGACAGCATTTTGCAAAGGTTCCTATTTTGTATGGCTATTAAGTATTGTTATGCAGATTACCCTCTATCAGAGTAATAGGATGTCATCAGATCGTAACACATCAATACATTAATGTGTACGCAGCACTATGATGTTAATTTTGGTGGCTCTATATATTTAATTATACTTTATAATTCACTTTTTTTATACTGTGATTGTCCTAATTTCAAAGCTTGCAAGAACCAAACCTTTTTAAATATGTCTTATTATTTACTGTTTAATAATGAGTGGAATATAAAGCAGCAGTAAATACTCCACTAACGCTCAAGTAACATACCTAAAAATAGTCTTTTTTCCTTCCATCGCAAACACATAGCAGATTATTTATTTTGATACTCAGGTAAGTGAATTCACACATCCATTGTGCCATGTAGGTGTTAGTTGTCGTTGGGATTGTGTATTTGTTGTTGTTCTAACACTGTTGCGTGGGTGTTGCGTTGTGTTGTGACGTACTTTGTGGTGCAATTGTGTGTTAAGTTGTTATCATGAGTTGTAATACAAGTTTGTCAACTCATGTTATGAGAGTGCTTTTTACTGTGCAAAATTGCATGTTGGTGCTGCAGAATATTATATACTAAATAGATTTGTCCCATGTTGTTGTGTGGTAATGGTGAGAACCCCCTCGTGTGGTTGTGTACTGATTACTCTTTGTCAGATAGTTAAGAGTTACTGCTGCCGTAGCAGCCGGTCTAATCTTATGGGCTCCGCTCTGCTGCGTCCTCAGACAGGTAACTTCACAAAACAACCTCGCAGATGGAGCGGATAAACTCCAGACCACGCCGGGTGCCAGCGGGATTGTGGCCTCAGCGGGAGACGGCTTCCCTCGGGCAGGGATGGGGCCCAGCCGGGGTGAGCTGGTTCATAGCTGCAGGGAAAACATTATGTGTGTCTGTGTGTGTTTGTGTATTAGTATGCATAGACAAGCTGAGTGTCTGACTGTATTTAGGCTTGACTGGGCAAGCAGACACGTCCTGGCATTCTGAGGATCACACACACACGCACACACACACACACACACACTCAGACTGCAGTGCCCATAGGCAGTTAATCACAGTTGACGCTGCTTTTCCGCTCCATCCTGTCTCCGAAAGAAAAAGTGGAGAAAAGGAGGAGGAAGAGGGCCGAAACTGCTTGATTTCCTCTAAGGAATGACTCTACTTACAACGACACGAGGAGACTGTCCCTCATTGACGGCAGACGTCCGATGCACAAACATCTCCTCATGATGCACAGATGTAACATATAACCAACAGTCAAAACAGACGGAAGCACCAATTTATAAATATACAACACCGCAAGTACACCTCCTCGCTACTGCTGCGAGAGTCACACGACTGGGACGTACACACTGCGAGAAACAGATGTGGGCTCTCATGATCGTGTTGATGACTCGAAAAAGAAACTCTTTTTCGAGATGATGGAAAGCTCAAAAGCTCGAAAATTGGATTAAAGGTCGTCGGGGTTAAAAAGCCGACAGCCACACAAACCCCGTCAGTGAACGGAAATCCGTCTTGTTCATTTCTAAAGCGCCTGTCTCTAGGCGTCACAGTATCTGTCACGAGTTGGTCAACGCGTTGTGAAAATACCACAATGACATAACTTGTACAACATTTAGGAAGAGCTTTGGGAGGAGATGCATGAAACAAAAAACAGATGGTTTTGAGGAAGAAGAAATTATAGCTGAGCGAAAAGAATAAGTCCCCTAAGCCTTTTCAATTTGAAGTCCAGCTCTCTTCTCTTCCGCCTCGTCCTTTCCACTCATCCCGCCGGCCTGATGTGGGGATCACAGCTGGTCTGTCGAGGAGAGTTCTCCTCAGACGCACAGAAATATGCAGCAGGAGAGTTTAATAGAGACGAGGTGGAGGGAAGAGTTGCAGGTTGTTGCAGATGAATTAGACGTGGAAACACTGGGCGTCACCGACAAGGAGCCAAACGGGGAGAGAAACTGCTTTACAGGCGTGTGTATGAACACATCCGTCCAAACACATGCATGTGCGTGCACAGGTTTTTAATGGAGTTTAAAGCTGTGTAGGAGTACTGCTGTCATTCATAAAAAAACACCATAATATTTATCTAGGTGAATACATTTCTTCTTCTTTTGTGTTGCCCTGACTTCAACACGTCATTACTCGTCGTGCCCTTGAGCCTCCTCCACAACCGCTGCCGTGCCGCTTGGGCCTCTCCTTCCTTGCCTCTCCCTCAGAACATAACCATGGCTGTTATTGGGGGAAAAAAAGGTCATTGAGAAGATCAACACGGTGAAACAATGCAAAGGGTATAAAGGGGCGTAAAGGAGCTAAATCACTGTCATATGCTCCTTATTGACTCTAGTTAATCACAGATTGCTCTTTCAATAGTTGCCTTTTGTTCACCAAACCTCTGTGATTACCCCAAGCTTAGGCCTGTTAACACTTGCCATCGTTTCATCTACACATCGGACAGCTTGTCACCCGGCTGCCCTCTGTCCCTTTATCCCCGGCCTCCTGCGGGGCCCGGGGCCTTCTGGCTCGTAGCGGCACACTCCGGCAAGATGCTCCTTCCCTGCCAGCACAAAGGCAAGTCTCCCGGCGCCTTTTCACACCCATGCATGTGCATGCAGGTGGTCGCCCCATTCAGACACGGGGAGGCACACTTCCACGGGTCTAGATTCAGCCCGGGTTGGGGGAGGGGGGGCGTTTTCTTTCAAAGACAAACTCTCAATTAGGAGGTGTGTCTGGAGGGTGGAGATGTGCAACACAGGAGGACAAGGCATAAAAACATGCCAAGGACACGCGCATGCAAACAAAACTGAAACGATGTTGCATGTGTGTGTCAGTAGGGGGTTAATCGCCCCCCCGGACTAACACCGTCTCATTATTCAGACTGCAGGAATCATTAACTCGCCCAGTAAACAGGCACACTTCGCCGGTTTGCTCCCTCTGCCGCTCCGTCGGCCTTTCTGTCTCTCGGGGACTCTCACTCCCCATGTCCACGCACACACACACACATACACACACACAACAGCACAAACAAAACCCGGTGAAATATTTAACAAAGCGACTCGTCTTGCATTGTCTCCGCCAACCTTTGTCTCACTGTACTTCCTGGTCTGTCCCCCTGCCTGTTCTCTCCGCTCATCTGTCGTCTCTGCTGCCTTCCCTTCCCTTCTTCTCTTTCTTCTGTTCATCTGTTTCCACCTGTTCCTCATCGGCCACCAGCCAGAACGTGCTGAACTTTCTCTTCACTTCTTTTCACGTTGCATTCAAATACCTCTAGAATCTGTACCCCTTTATAATCATTCATGCTTTTCTTTCAGCTTCACTACTACTTTGAATCTTTTCCCGTACCCCCCGCTCCCCCCAAATGTACCTTGGGCAGTGTATTCGTTAGGAGAGAATCCATTATCCTCCTCCATCCTCCAACCTTCTGCCCTCTTTATCGCTCTCTCTCTCCATCTCTCTCTCCTCTCCTCCCATGGTCCTGGCCCCAGACCTATATTCATTAACATAGTGTTAATGATCCCAGATGGACTGACATGTACTCTGTGGGGGCGAAGTGTGAGTGGCTTCTTCCAAGGGTGTGTGTGGGTGGTTGTGTGTTTGAGTGCATGTGTATGCGCGGCTGTTGGGTACATTGGCCTAGTTGTGTGTAGCCTACAAAGTGTTTGTGTATATAAAGTATACAAGCGTGCATGCGTTCATTTGGGCATTTAAGTAAGAAATAGTTGCCTCTCCCCAGCAGTAGGTAGCTTAGTTATAGTGATGTGCATCTCTTATGCCCTTCTGTCAGAAAGCCAACAATAGAATTGATCAGAGGGTCGCTAAGGACGTATTTCAGTTCATGAGGAATCTGTTCTTCCTTTGTGAGAAAGAAAGAACTCAATGTTTCATCACTTTAAATTGTCATTCATGTTGCTTACCAGTAATAACAGTAGTACACAGTAGTAGTCATGACCAGTGTAATGGACATTGCACGGGGATACCTGAGGAATTCCTAAGTTAAAACAAACTGCCATAGAATTTAAAAAATGCAAACCGTGTAAACTGTGCTCACAAGGTTCAGTCTGTGGACCGATTCATAGCCTGAAGCCAAAAACGACACAAACACAAATCTCATGTATGAGCGAAGCCAACTTTATAAGTGCACTAAATCCAGAACTTCTTCTTCACTGCATTGCAGAATATATTGAATTGTTACTGCCAGCTGTCGATTTGGGGAATGGTGGGACACCATTGTGTATTTATAATCGTGTCAACCATGCAAGCTTGTACAAAATAGACTATGCGGAGACCCCCTCGTAGAATAAAGGCTGCGTAGGTCTACACAAGAAAAACGCATTCCTCAAAATGTTCAACCACTCCTTTAATAGTTTGGGTTTTGCTTGAATGGTTTATTTCAAGGGAGATCAAACAATGCAGCTTACACTGATATTTCAGACAGCAGAGAGTTTCCACGTTAGTGAGATTTTACAGAAAGCTCTCAACAC